TGAGTATACGTTGCCCAGAGTGCACCACGTGGAGGTATGTTTATCACACACCCCACTTATCCAACCATAATTCACTTATATGGTAATAAAAAATAACTGCATAAATATTGTTTGGAGACATTTTGCTAATATCTGATAAACAAGCGCATTACGTATAGTAAAGGAAATGTGTTCTTTAGTGTTTGTAAATAAAAATACATAATACTATTATCGAAGTATATATTGGCTTAAATTTTCTCTCCATAACGTTGATGAGGTCGTAGTATAAAATATTTAGAAGAGCATTCGGCAATGAGCTTAGCTACAATTGTCTATCTTTATTTACTAAATCAATTCATTTGCTTAAATAAAAGTGGAGTTACAATTGGAAAATAAAAGCGAATCGATCTTAATACTTTGCCTTTTTCATATTCGATTATACCACCCAATGTGCTCACACACAAAATTTCAAATTCTTAATCGCAACGCGATTAGCCATGAATAACCTGTGAAAATTTTCAAGGGTTTCAAAATTCTAAATCTCTTTGTCATTTTAACCCCATGAAATGCCTAACATCTTGTCAAACACTAACAGGTCAACGGCAACCTCAGATTTTATCTTTAACTCTCAATGGCCAAACCCTGCAGCCAGTTCATCAAGTAATCTTCACACCATTTTGGAATTCATAACGCTAACAATGTTGGTCATTGGCAAATTCTTGAGAGTAAGCAATGATCGCTTCCTGAGCAAGGTAGCGGTACATACGGAGAAGTACCCGTTAATAGTGGATCAATTTTGTGTCGAATAGTGCTAAACTGACTCAATTATTGACTATTAGTTGCAATAATACGCCTTCAACAGGTTACCTTGTATATTCTTTTACTTATTGAGCATGTCAAACTAGAGGGCACTGCTGACAAGACTTGATTAGTCGGACGAATTTATCAGAGGTCAAAACATTTTATATAATGGATTTTGCCAAAAGCACCATAAGACTCATCTGCTTTTCTCAGTTGCAGTGGAATAACATTTCTTCAGTTTACGTCACTTTTAATAAGAAGTAGCATCGACATTAAGATACTTAACTTTTACAAACTCTGTATAGCTCTACAAATGTTATAGACAATGTTTTAAATGTAAAAAATTAAATAATCAATGAAAAATTTTATCGTCAATTATCAAAATTTTAAAAATTATTGTGAATATCATATCATGAATAGGTGATTCAGATGACATGACAATTAGTATTAATAAAAAATTGAATAGTTCAACAAAACAAGTTAGATTACTTGATTAAAAGCAAAAATTCTGCTCTATTTGTTGTGAATAAAGCCTATTGTTATTTTAAAATTTAATCCCTCGTTGTTGAAGTTACTTGTAGAGTCACCGCGAAATTCCAGCTATTTTTGATGCTTAATAATGGTGATTTAGTTACTTGTAATTATAATCATTTTATAGAGTATTCTTACGTATAATGGTGGTGCTGTAGTTGGAATGAAAGGAAAAGATTGTGTTGCCATTGCAACTGACATGCGTTTTGGCGTGGGCTACTCAACAATCGCTATGAATTATTCCAAAATTGAACAACTTGGACCACATTTATTCGTCGGACTTCCGGGATTAGCTACTGATAAGGAAACGGTGTAAGTTTTCTAATCTTTAATTTCATTTCATAGATTCTCTTCGATTAACTTATTTCATCCTCAATTATTTTGATTCTGTATTGCTTTTGTGCTTTTTTAGTTCCCAAAGGCTTCTTTTCCGCAAAAATCTGTACGAACTTCGAGAAAATCGTCACGTTAGACCGAAGACTCTTCTGTGTATGCTGTCAAACCTTCTCTATGAACGAAGATTTGCGCCATACTTTGTTGAGCCGATTGTTGTTGGCATCGATCCAGTAGAACATACACCCTTTGTTGGCGGAATGGATCTTGTTGGCTCTCCTGTCGAATGCGAATTTGTCGTAGCCGGTTCATGTACTGAGCAACTTTACGGCATGTGCGAAACTCTTATGGAAAAAGACATGGTGAGTTTCTTAGTAGAAGGCTTATTTAATGGTTGTAAAGTTATTTGAAATCCCCCCTTGTTTGGCTATATTTTTCTTAATATTTTTTGTTAATTAGTATTCTTCGTGTGCGCTTTTTGCGTCACTAATTGAATGTGTATTTTTTCTGAAAAGAATTTATTTATTGAAATTTTTAACCACTAACTTAAAGCTTTGACAACTTAAATAGAAGCACGAATTTGATATTCTAGGCCTACCATCTCCTTTTCCTTTACCTTGTGTTTTTAAGTGAGATTTGGTATCATATTTGTGCAATTTGCCAAATTGGTGGCTATTTTGATCCTCTTGATCGTGATGCTCTTGGTCATTTATAATTAGCAATTTTCAGACCATTCATCTGACACGCATGTGCTTATCGAATTTGAAGGTTTTAATAACAGACAACCACTATCACTTTCGGTGGATATTATTTCTTACTGTAAAAATTTAGAAGTACACCTAGGAAAATTGCTTTTTGTTTTCATTGGCAAGCCTGTGTTAATTGGTCTGGCTTCTGTGACTACTCTGGGCCATGAACTTTTTTTGCTATTTATAAAATTTCGTTTATTGTCTTTACGCAAATAATATAAGTAGCACGCAAGTTGTCCAATTCGATCTTGATCTAATTAGCGGCTAACTACTGTTTTAGCTTACTTGGTATTGACAGTTGCTTCGGCTTTTCCACTTGCCATGCGACATAATGATGGTTGCTAAAATTAATCGTCCACCATTTTGTGTTTCTGTAGAATTCTGAACAACTTTTCGAATGCATATCTCAGTGTATGTTGAATGCCACGAATCGTGACTGTGTCGCCGGTTGGGGAACTCGGGTTTATCTAATGTAGGTTCAATTTCCGATTTTTTCATCTATTTTTCTCCTAGTGAAAAGGATAAGGTTACAATTTCCGATCTGAAAAGTCGCATGGATTGATTTTTCACATTGTATTAAAGTTTCAATATATTATCAACTTAATATATCGCCCCATTCTTCTTTTGGTTAAGATGAGTTAAGATAAGCACTCAATACTTAAGAAGTCTAAGCAAACACAATCTGCATTGTTATTTGGGAGAAGTCATAATAAATAATAGAAATGCCAATAATGGAAGAATAGAAAAGAATCCGGATTTTTTTCTCGGAAAAGGTGCTTAAAAGTCCTTGCTTTTTGTCATTGCGTCATCTATTCTCGGGCGACCGAGACGTAAGATGATCCGGAATAGTGTCGAATAACAGTAAAGTAGAAGATCAATATAAAAATCAGTCCAATCATCTACAGCGCGCAATAAAAAGTGAAAGTAGCTATTTAACGACTAATTACTGATGACAACTAAGTGAAGGAATTTACCTCATAGGAAGCCACGGCCAAGATATTCGCTGTAAATACCCGCAAACCAATCCGGGTGGCTTCGGAGGCCTTGTCATAGCAACCCTGAAATGAATCAGGCACGTGTAAAGAAAGCAATTTACCGAGTTATGACGTGTGGAACACGACTCTACTTTCAGCTGTTTACAGTTCAGTGAAAGACTAACTCTCTGTGTGATTGCTTGTAGTTTGGCACATAAGCGCAATAACACAATCCAGACGGGGGAGTATAAAATGATAAATTTTTAGACAAGGCGTACCACAGTAAAGGCTGCAGTTGAATCACAGACGCCACTAACGTTTTCTGGGCAGCAGGAGGTGGGCAAGACTGTATTCCGGTATTCTTCGTGGTTCTTTTCACCGCAGCATTCAAACTAGCAAAAAATTATGTTAATTGTATAAAATAGAGGAAAATCCAACGCTTGCATATACAGTCAATGCTGTAGAAATTTTCGCTGGCTTAGTCTTATTCAACACCTGAAAATAGTGGACGATGTGTTGATTGAATAAGTTAAAAGAATTTATTTCACAACGTTGAGACTGTTGCCAGAAAGGGTTCAGAAATAATCTACTTTAAAACCGTCTGAATCCAAAGACACAAAGACAAACTTTGGCAAACTTGTTATTTATCTGGTGATTGTGGAACTCAGATGAAACAGTGCTCTCCTAAAATGAACAGTCTTTCTTTCGTCAAGTGTTTGGATATTTTTAATACTATTAAGTTCGAGAAGCCTTTTAGTCTTGCCTAGGTAAATTAATAGATGAGTGAGTTCATGAAGGACTGTCGGTAATATTCAACCGATTACCTACTAATGTCTTTATTTTCGAGCTTTAAACGATGGGGTCTATTAATAGGCAAGGTTTGTATCCGTTGCTTAACGTAATTTTTTCGGATCCTGTATGACAATAAGAAAGCGAGGAAAATTTGTGTGCTTAAATTTGACATAAATATTAATAAAAAATGTAGGAGTGATTTTCGTGGGTACTGTTTAAATATATGGCAACCTTTTGATAAAAAAATAGTTCAACTTACTGTTGACTGAAATACATCTCGAGTGACAATATTTTGAGCAACTGTGTCTGGATCCTCAGATGTAGACATCCATTTGCGTATTACTTCTTTGAGAGCCTGAGTAAGCCTTTTTTCAATCTGGCAAATGACTGAATTACATATGAATCCATAAAATCATACCTCGCTTTGATATAGAAAGCTAAGGACACCGATAGCTACTTCAATACAGATTACTAATGCAATACAGATGCTGTAGGTACCGAGTAGACCAGGGGACTCGTGATAGACTGCACAACAACCAAGAATAGCAACTATGACAGTTATCACACCAATACAAATTAGCACGATTAATAGAATATGCAACTCGTAAAGAATTTCGGCGGAGAGGAATACTGATTGAACCCCTGGTTCCATGTATGCGAAAATAGATAATCCGAGAAGACCAAGACCAATAATCTATAAGAATAATATTTTAAGTCGGCTATAGGAAAAATGTTTCAATCGTTTAAAATTTGAAAAAAACAGCGAAAGAAGATAAATAAAGCGGCAAACATACGACTAGTAGGACATTTATAATTAATAAAATATATATTTGACAATCCCGAATGCAAGATCCTCCCATCGTTGTAAGAGTATCTGCAATATCGAAATATCTCAAGGTAATGTGTTATTGTTCAGAAACATTTAAACACGGTTAGTGCTTGATTGCCTTCTTGATAGTATTGACTATTTTAAGGCTAGATAGAATTAATCAAAATCTTGAAAAATCAGTTACTTTTTTGGATGAATATCGAATATTAGAGGAACTTTTTATAGAAACATTCTTTGGTATATTAAAAGGAAATATTTAAATCAGTTCTTCTGATCTAAATATTAAGAAAATTTCGATTATAAATACATATTTTCACTGTTTTCTGTATTTTGAATTTATTCATGCTAATTAATTAGTAATTTATTGACAAAGAAACGGTTGTATACTTCCATTTTAGTAAATATTCGATTCCTTATCCACAAGTGTGTAGTTCGTCAGTAAAATTTATTCCTATTGTGTTTGAAAATGTTTATTGCACGTCAATGCAAAACAATTCCCTAGTCTATCACAATGAACTGTCGGTGTGCATTCGAGTTCCACCATTTACAATCTTACGGCCTCCTATAATTCCACAAAGGCTTAAGCTTCTTCCGATTTTACGCATTTTAAAATAAGTGCAGAGTTTTTAAACAATTGGAAAGACGTTGTTAATTTAACATATAAATGGATATATCAAATATATACACAGTTCTTCAATTAATTAATCTGACTTAGATCCTTTAAGTCTCGTTCGGTTAAAAGAAATATTACTGCTGAAGCAGATCTCTAACTGCGTCTCAGGTGGCAGAATCGCTAATCAGCTTGATAGTGAAAAGTGGAATGAATCAGAATAATTACAGTAAGATCGTTTTTAAAGCAGTTATAAGAAGCGAAGCCGATATTTGAAGGTGATGTGGACGAATCAAGCTATATCTCTAAGAAAATGTAAAACGAATTTCTGTCCCAAACGGTATTTTCTCTTCACTGTTTTACAAAGAATAGAGTAATAGGTGTTACGTCTTGAAAGGATTGATGTTCTACAATGAGCAGCCTGACCTAGATTAATAGTTCACATGGTTGAAAATTTTTATAAGTTATTAAATTGTCGAAACTAATAAACCAGAACCAAGTGGTAATCAATGATCAGTTTGAGAGAGTAAGAGTGTTGAGGGACGCATACGAGCGGACATGTGACAAGTGTATATTCTATGTGAGTGCGAAGCTACAAAGACAGCTTATAATTTTGGCATAAACAAGGATGTTAGCAATACAGTAGTCTCTAGTAAAAATCAACAATCAATGACCAGCACATAGAGACGTGGTCTTATAAACTCCTCAGATGCACCGAAAATACCCGTTTCCGCTTCCTAATAATAAATTGTGAATTCAAGGTATTTCAATAAACAAACAGTGATCGAGGTGAATAACATGTCAGTGTTGTCACGTGCTTTAGTGTATCGCACTACTGTTCTTTATCCGAAACAGGCAGTCAGTTGCAAAGCCATTTTTAAACATGGAAGTAAATTTTAGCTATTTAGAAGAAATCAGCTTTTCATAAATACGGTTTTCCCTTACAATGGCATAAATGCACATAAACAATTAAGGCGTGCAAATTGCTGGTCATGGATTCAAATCAATAGGTGAACAAAGGCGAGTCATCATAACAAGTGGTACTCGTGACATGGAGCAATTCAGTTCTGCAGTGCATATAAAAAAGGTAATCAAGAATGACGTTTGTTTACACTTTTGCAAAGAAATATTTTCGAGAGCAAGGATTTGTGCTAAACAAACAATGTGAACTCTTTTACATTGTGCAATTGGAGTTAATAAAAGTAAAGTTCTAGGAGGCTGCATACTGGCACTCTTCCCCCCCCCCCCTCCCCCCACAAGGTACACTTTGTAAAACTGTTTAGTAAATGGGTTTGGGGGGGGGACGAGGAGGGGCTTATCGTAACCCTCGTGGAGTTTAGTCTAGAAACCCTAAAGACCTCAATAAGGGGGGAAAGAGAGGCACAAACAAGAAATTCATATTTAGTAACCTATTCTTGATCAGAATAAGCTTGTACAATATGCCTTCCCGATTTCCCATGGCTTGAGATTTGTATACAATGACTACCAAAATGTTGTGTACAAATCCTCATGAAGACTTGTTTTTTTTAAAAAAAAGTTATAACTAGCTGCTGACTAGGCTTCCTCACGAACAGTTGTTAATAGCTTTCGAACACATGTCCTATACGTATGATTCGACCTGTGTTAAAAGTGGTGGTGGGGTGGGGTGGGGGGGGGGGGGGGGGGGGGGGGTTGGGGNAGGGGGCTGGATTCGAGTGCATGTAGGTGGTTGGTCATTGTCCGTGAATGTAAAGGGAAATATTTTGGTTTCACGAATGTTTAAGAATTTCATATTAAAAATGAGAAAAAAGGGAATATACAATTAACATTTCCTCCAAGCAGATTACGAAATTTCATCCATATTTCTTCCATATGGTAATCAATTATTTGTTTAAATGGACTTTTGGAAAGCGTATTTTGTGAGCGAATTTGCGGATAACTTCTAGACCTCTCAGTCACCTTGCGTGTCTTCTTGTGTGCCTAGGAGTGATGTTCGACTGCAGTTGTTTCCGACGCAAAGACGATGTTCTGTCTCTTTTAAATTTGTGAATCATTATTCTGTCCCCCCCC